TGTCTAGGCCCCTCCTTGTAATACCTGCATAGCCCACTTTCAGCAAAAATCTTGCTAAGTTAGTTAATAGAAAATCTCTTGCCCTTGATATCTGATCACCCTTGATATTTGGTCAAATTACTCATCCCCCACCAGGCAATATGTGATCACCCTGGCTTGCCTTCGGCAAGAATACTGTTAAGGTGCTATAACCAGAATCTCCCTATGTTTCCTTTTAGTTATTGTACATCGACTGGCCTTCATCCTGCTCCTTAGTAATAAATCCCTGCTTGTTATTGCTGTATTTGGAATGGATCCAAGTTCAATACTGAGGTCCATTTCTCTTTATTATAATAGTTTCTGAATAAAATCTGTTTTTACAGAATTTTACACTGCCACTTCTGGTTTTCTTTGACAATATCGAAAGTATACAATATGGAAGAGCAATTACTGTCATGTATTTACACTGACAGATATTTCAACTTACAGTTGAATAAATCCAGTGATGTACAAAGTTTGAGTTGGTGCTTTGTGTACATACAGAATGTCCAGGAGGGAGATATACTTGGCAACTTTTTGTTCTATTTATTGTTGAAAACCTAGTATATGGGAAAAGATACAATGAGATCTGTGGGTGAAAAGGAAGGCAAGATATTGCTGTGCAAATTAAAAAGGTGGCCTCTAAGGGGAAATTTATATTGTGTATTTGCAAATAATAGTTGGTAGTCAAAAATACTCCACTAGGTTTTGATTTATGATTGAAGGAAATACTGCTAATTATTAGTACTATCAAACTCTAGTCTTTAAGTATGTATGCATCTTTTTGGCATACTATGTGAGGAATTGGGCTGTAAGTATAATCTGACTATTGAGGTAAAAAGAGCCTCATATTAGTTTTTAAAATGAGAGACAATGAAAATGTTCCTTCATAATGCTGATAATTCGACTAAAGACCATTTTGAATAGCTTAATTGAGCAACATGTCACAGCAGTATATTAATTCAATATGTTGGATTGCTTGAATCTTCACTTCAGTCTCAAAATATTCCATTTAAAAAATCTGCAGATGGCTTCTCTTCCGGTCCTAGGAGCTTCGGGAACCGTGGCTTGGGTGCAGACATGGCCAAGTCCAAGAACCACACCACACACAACCAGTCCCGAAAATGGCACAGAAATGGTATCAAGAAACCCCGATCACAAAGATACGAGTCTCTTAAGGGGGTGGACCCCAAGTTCCTGAGGAACATGCGCTTTGCCAAGAAGCACAACAAGAAGGGCCTAAAGAAGATGCAGGCCAACAATGCCAAGGCCATGAGTGCACGTGCCGAGGCCATCAAGGCCCTCGTAAAGCCCAAGGAGGTTAAGCCCAAGATCCCAAAGGGTGTCAGCCGCAAGCTCGATCGACTTGCCTACATTGCCCACCCCAAGCTTGGGAAGCATGCTCGGACACGCATTGCCAAGGGGCTCAGGCTCTGCCGGCCAAAGGTCAAGGTCAAGGCCAAGGCCAAGGATCAAACCAAGGCCCAGGCTTCAGCTCCAGTTTCAGTTCCAGCTCAGGCTCTCAAAGGTGCCCAGGCCCCTACAAAGGCTTCAGAATAGATATCTTTGTCTGCCAATGTGAGGACAGAAGGACTGGTGTAACTCCCCTGGGGCTGCCATCTGCATGGGGCTGGGGTCCTCCTGTGCTATTTGTACAAATCAACCTGAGGCAGGATTAAAAAAAAAAAAAAAATCTGCAGATGACAGATTAGAGTTTCTTTTTAAAAAAGGGAACAGGGGCCAAGTGCAGTGGCTCACGCCTGTAATCTCAGCAGTTTGGGAGACCAAGGTGGGCAGGTCACAAGGTCAAGAGATCGAGACCATCTTGGCCAACTGGTGAAACCCTGTCTCAACTAAAAATACAAAAATTAGCTGGGCATGGTGACATGTGCCTGTAGTTCCAGCTACTTGGGAGGCTGAGTCAGGAGAATTGCTTGAATCCAGGATGGGGAGGTTGCAGTGAGCTGTGATCGCGCCACTGCACTCCAGCCTGGCAACAGAGTGAGAGTGTCTCAAAACAAAACAAAAAAAAGAAACAGCAACAAAAAACCTGAACAGTGGTATAAATGGTCTAAACTTAAATGTTTTCCCATACTTTTCTTTTATAATTTCTTTACCTTTTGAAACACATGATTTATTGTCTCATATGTTTAAAAATTCTATCACTACAAATGTAATGTTACTTACATAATGCTTCGTGAGAAAATGAGGAAATAATACTTTTTAGAGCTAGAAGCAGTTAAAGAATGATTAGGAAATCTATTTACATTGTCTCCCAAGTTGAAACGGTCAATCTTTCTGCATTCATTTGTGATAAGTCTGTCAATTTAATGCCTGATAGAGTTCTGAAATATCTTTAGTGATGATTCTTTATAATTTTTAGGTTCACAATAGTCTAAATATCCTGTTGTTCCTGACAAAGCCACGAATGTTTATTGTCATTTCATAATCATTAATGGGGAATTATAAAGAGTTTATAGTTTTGTTAAAGTAATCACAATTGAAACTAGTTGGATATGGAACTCAAGGACATGTGACTTGGAGTCTTTGTCATGGGTCAGTGTTGACAATTTGATAAGAGTACAAACAAAATACAGTCTCTTTCACTGATAAGAAATAATAATATATATTTTATTTAAAATAAATTATTAAAAAAAAATTTTAGTATTGTGGTCCATGGATGCTGAAATAATACTTGTCACCTTTGTAAAAAAAAAAAAAGGTTGTGTTGTCTAGGTGTGGTGGTTCACACCTGTAATCCCAGCACTTTGTGGGGCCGAGGCAGGCAGATCACCTGAGGTCAGGAGTTCGAGAGCAGTCTAGCCAACATGGTGAAACTTTGTCTCTACTAAAAATACAAAAAATTAGCTGGACGTGGTGGTGGGCACCTGTAATCCCAGCTAATTGGGAGGCTGAGGCATGAGAATCACTTGAACCTGGGAGGCAGAGGTGGCAGTGAGCTGAGACCATGCCATTGCACTCCAACCTGGGCAACCAGAACAAAACTCTGTCTCAAAAAAAAAAAAAAAAAAGGTAATGTTTGTTGATCACTTACTATGAGGCAAACATTCTAAGTGTAATGAACTCATGTTAACTGTGAAGGAGCCAGTGGGTTACAGACTGATGCATGGAGAGAATAACTTATCCAAACTTACCCAGCTGTTAATTGACAAAATTGAGATTTGAACAGTCAGTCTGGTAGTAAAGTCTGCTCGTAACCACTCTCTGGCAGAGATAAATAGTACTGTAGGAGTTCCCGAGAGGTCAATTCAAGCATAAGTATTTCATATTTTGAGGTTTCCTAAAGTATTTCTCTGCTTCTTTAATATACAAGTTGCCCACATTATTCTCCTTCTCATTATTACTACAACCAGTGAGTATCTTGATTAGAATCTTTCTGGGAGAGAAGCAGTTACTAAGAAGGGAATGCTTTATAGACGGAGAGAGAAAGGATCATTTTTACGGTCACAGGTTATTTTCTTAGTCTTGGCTAAATTTTTTTTGGGGGGCTATTGTGGTCCAAAGACAATTTAGGTGACTCATAAGCTATCACCTCTAATTCTCCAGATGTCTCAAAATAGCAAGAGTATCTCAGTGAGTGAATAGCAGTAGCTCCTTGCATGAAAAATATACACATATCATAAATACTTTTAAAAATGAAAGTATCTCAGTGAGTGAATAGCAGTATCTCCTTGCATGAAAGATTTGCACATATCATAAATACTTTTAAAAGTTTGAGTTTAATATAAATTCAAAAATATAAATCAGCTTTGCTATAAATATACTAAAAACCTTTTTATGAATAGCAATTTAATATATTTTATAGCATTTATTTTGTACAGCCTTTTTACTAAATTTATCTTATTACTGTTTGTTAAAAATAAATGGAAATTCAAGTTTATAGTCTTGCTCTAAATCATTTTCTAAAAATTACATTTCAGAATGTAATGTTTTTGGCTTGTTTTAAATATACCCGCTTGCTGGCTGTTGCGTGTTGGAGTAGAGCTTTCTTTTTTAAATCTAGTAGCGCCCTCTAGAGCAAAAGGTAAAATACAATTTGATAAGAAAGGACTAGTTTCAAAAATTCAAATATTCTTAAAATTTCTTATCCTGTGTGATAGTTTGTTACTTAGAAGTATCAAAGAGCTGGCCAGGCATGGTGGCTCTTGCCTGTAATCCCAGCACTTTGGGAGACTGAGGTGGGTGGATCACTTGAAGTCAGAATTTCTAGACCAGCCTGGCCAACATTGCAAAACTCGGTCTTTACAAAAAATACAAAAATTAGCCGGGCATGGTGGCTCATGCCTGTAATGTCATCTACTTGGTGAGGGGCTGAGGCAGAAGAATTTATTGAATCTGGGAGACAGAGCTTGTAGTGAGCCAAGCTTACGCCACTGCAGCACTCTAGCCTGGGCGATAGAGTGAAACTCCCTCTCCAAAAATAAAAAAGAAGTAGCAAACAGCTGAACCTAAATGTTCTTTTGCTCAAATATATATATATATTCTTTTCAAGGATGCCTCTTAGGTAAGTTCTTCTTAGCTAAGATTAAAGATTAGTATATCCTTTTCTTACCTCCTTGTGAATGTAATGGTACATAATTTTATTTTTAAATGGATATTTAAATAAAATTACCCATAAGTATTGAATTTCTTGTTGACAGTATAACATGCAGTATGTGATAGTGTGTTTATTTTGAGGATTACAAAATAAATAGAGATTAAACCACACCCCCAGTACCTATGCTCTTATTTCCACTTGTTTTTTGTAATAGAGCATGACACATATTGGGTCTGGTAGTGGCCTTGACTAAAAAGTTATCTTGATTAAATTAATAATATTATTGATATATATCCATTTTCTATTACAGAAGAAAATACTCAGGAAATATCCCAGATGAAGAAAAGTTTGGCAGAAAAAGTTTCTCTCTATCGAGGTGACATCACATTGCTAGAGGTAGATGCTATAGTCAATGCGGGTGAGTAGTTGATTTTTCTGTGATGTGTTTGTTATGTGAGTATTATTTCAAAATATTTTTAATAAATAAAAATGTAAGCATTTTAGAAAAAAATCATTTCTGATATAGAAATGCCTAATATATTTCTCTTCTTGATTAAAAACATTGGAGATCTTTTTCTTTTTTTGGTATGTTCTTCAATTAATGTGCAATCTACAGCACCCTCTACAGTGAAAAGCACTAGGCTGAGATTAGGGTTCTGGACCACTGGATAAGTGACAGATTGTTGCAGAAAGTTATTCAGACAGAACTTTAGCAAGTATGTTACTGTTAGTTTCATAGCTCAAATTAATAGTTGGCCAACATAAGTACAAGTTCATCAAACTTTTTTCTTTTGACTAGGTTGTCAGGCAGTGACTGAACTGTGTAAGACAAAAGTGAAAATATAAAGAAATTATTTGAGCGATTTCAAAACTTAAGTTGTTTGGGTTCAGGTTTTCATTTTTGTCGTGAAATGCTTAATTTTAGCCAGCATATTCTAATTATTTTAATAAGTAATTGTCTAGTTAATTTTTCTATTTCAACATTGGGAAAAATAGATGTTATATTTTATTATGTGGTTATATATCAAAAAAGATACAGTAGCTGTGATTCTATTAAAAATATTGTAAATGAGAGGATATTTAATGGTTTTAATTTGTCTTTTTTAAAGTTAGGCTGTTTGAAGGTTGAAAGTGTCAAAAACAAATCTGGACTTGGGTAAGGAGAGTATCTAAATAGACTGTTACAATACAGGGAGGAGGAGGATTGCAATAGGGGGAGGCAGAGTATTGCAGCAGGATAACTGCTTCAGCTATGAGCTATAAGTTTCTTAAGGGTTAAGCAGAAAAGGGCTTTTCTTTTATAGTAAGGAGTAAACAAGGCTACAAAGAATTGGGGCTGAGGAATTGTATGAGGGGGTGACTTGATGGAACAGTTATCGGGGAATGTTTTTCCCTGAGGTCAGCTGGTTCTGGGAAGGGCTGTTAAGGAGGGGTTGCTCACCTTCCATTGCTCCAGGCTGGACTAAATTTCAGGGGTTTCCAGGAAGGAGAGGAGTCTGACTAAAGTTTGGTCAGGTTGTTTGTATGCATTGACCAACCAGAATGGTAAATGGGGACAAACAGTTCGGCGAATCATGTATGAGACAGAGAATGGGAATTTGGAAGGTCTATGTTTAGCCTTGTCATTGGTTGCAAAGTGGTCATCTGTCAGTTTTATCTAGCAGGTCCTCTCCCACAACACAAAAGGGTGGGGGTAATTTCTTGACTGTGGCTTTTTCCAAGAGTACAGAGTTCATGTGAAGTTCACTGTTACCTCCAGGTTCCCTGTGGTGATAATAAATTCACACAGGATAGTAGGAAAATGCTTTGGCAGCTGAACAGAAGGGTCTTATGGGGAGCTGAAATATTGTGCGAGGATACTGTACAGTTCTGGCACTTTAGGAGAAAGTTCAAAATACTGGTCAGCTTGTTGTTCCCTCACAATTGGGTATCAGTTACAGCTGGGGGCAGTGGCTCACGCCTGTAATCCTAGCACTTTGGGAAGCCGAAGTGGGTAGATAACTTGAAGTCAGGAGCTCAAGACAAGCCTGTGGTGAATCCCATCTCTACCATAAAATACAAAAACTAGCAGGGTATGTTGTTGGCAAGCACTTGTAGTCCCAGCTACTTGGGAGGCTGAGGCAGAAGAATCACTTGAACCTGGGAGGCAGAGGTTGTAGTGAGCTGAGATCATACACTCCAGCCTAAGTGGCAATTGAGATCCTGTCTCATAAAAAAAAAAGAGGTGGGCGTCAGTTTTTTTGTACCAGCTGCTTTGCCATAATCAAGGCTCAGTTTTCACATTCTCTTCTGATGCTTCTACACTTCCTTTCTCCTCTGCTGCTTCTGCTTCCTAAAATGTAAAACTCTTCTTGAAAGAGGAGGCTGGGTCATTTACTCACCACCCAATATGAATCACTCCATCCTCAGGTTACCTCATAGTGTACAGGTCTCTGTTATATGTGATATCTGTGGATTGTTCATTTGTGGCCCTGGGTATCAATATGCTTTCTTCTGTCCTGTGGGGCCTCTGGGGAACACAGGCCCTTGGAAAGGGTCTCAGGAAGTCCTCTCCAGTAGTTTTAGCAAGGTATCACTCTAGCTAGTAAGTTAATGTATATGCCCTAAATTTCATAAATATATGCCCTTTAATTTTTTAAAATTTAAAAGATCATATCTATCTGTATATACATAAAAGATATATGCACACATATGATCTTTTATATATTCACACACATGTGTATATACATGATCCTAGTTTTGTCCTTAGGAAGTACAACTGATGATATCTACTTCATTTGAAGATCACTCTCACGAGTTTTCTTCTTATTCTTATGAAGAAAACATTGAATTTGCTGTGTTAGCACACACTTAGTAACAGTAATAATGGCCTTTTTTTGGGTTTTGCTGTCTTCCCATGGGAGCCACACAATAGTGCCGTTTTCTCTTTTTGTGTCCACTCCCAAAGCAATATCTTCTTCTTAAAAATACTTAATATTGTATATTTGTTAAATTGAATTATTTAATATATGTAATTGAATTTGTAGCATCTCTGACTAATAGGACATTCAGCATTGGAGACTTGATGCAGTGAACCATTTGGCTCTGGTTTTGTTATTTATCTGATCAATCAATAAAAATATTTTGGGAGTAATTATTGAAATAACATAAAATGGTGTAAAGCAGAACATCATTAACTACCTCATCATTATTTTGTTTTTTAAATATTATCTTGCTCTTGCCTAAATGTGTAATTTTTCATAGCTGCTACATAATGTATAAGGGTATGGTAAGTTTATATGAAGACGGGAAGCAACTTTTGCTTACTCCCAAAAATAATTTGGTAATTTTAGCTCACCTCTCCGGCTGTGATGATTGTAATTTGGCCATGTTTTACATCTCACAAGGATAGTCTCATCAGGAATGGAAAAGGGATGCCAAGTGAATGTATGCTGTAATGGCTTTATTTACAGCTTTCTCCTGTGCAGCTTGTTTGCCTGGTGTGGAAGGAGCAGAACAGCTGTTAATCTTTCAGGTGAACAAGGTAACATGGCAGGAAACTAGAGAGCTACCTCTATTAAGAAGGGAGTGAAAAACAGTACCCCTAGTCACTATGCCAAAGCAGCCCAGTCATCACCTCCTATTAGACTTCTGATATTCTCTTTTCATGGCCCTATTAGTACATTGGAACACTTGGTCTTAGTTGCTATGAAGGAAATGATTCGATATTTTAAACTTCTTTCTAATAAAGTGTTTTTCTGAATTGCCTTAACTTCTTTAAATGTGACCCAGGATGGACGTCTCATGTATTATATGTTTCTCTTTAGGAAATTATGCATATTTAGTATGTTTTAATAAAACAGATTTTGCAGGTGTTATAGTACACAGGGTGGTAGCACAAGTTTAGTGTTAGGGAGACCTGGGTTCAAACTGAGGTTATTATAACCAAGGCTGTTTTTTGTTTAAACTTTTTATTTTGAAATAATTATAGAAAAGACAAAAATAATGCAGAGTCCTATGAACCCTGTGTAAACTTTTCCCAATGGTGACTTTGTATATAGCTATAGTACAATATCAAAAGCAAATTTTAACAAATAATTTCAACATTTATTTTAGATTTAGGGAGTACCTGTATACTTGTTACATGGGTATATTGCATAATGCCAAAGTTTGGGGTATGATTGATCCTGTCACCAAGGTAGTGAGCACAGTACCCAATAGTTACTTTTTCAACTCTTGCACCTTCTTTTCCTTCCCCTTTAGTAGTCCCCAGTGTGTATGATTGCCATCTTTATGTTCATGTTTACCCAGTGTCAAAAACCGAAAGTTGATATTGGTGCATTACTGTTATCTAGACTACAGACTTTATTAAGTTTTAACCATTTTTAAACTTGCATTCATGTGAATGTGTGTATATTTGTGTGTAGTTTGGTAGTGTTATTTCACGTATAGATTCATGTGACCACCACCACAATCTGGATACAGAACTATTCCATTATCATAAAAAACTCCCTCATGCTGCCACCCTTGTGTTTATATCCACTTATCTGCCTCCCTCCCTGTTTTTCATCTCTATGGTTTTGTCATTTTTAGAATGGTATATAATTCTAAAAATACATAATCAATAATGCTGCAGCGAACGTGCCGTACAGATATCCCTTTGACATAAGGACTTAAGTTCCTTTGGATACCTCTAAGTAGAATCAATAGATCATACGGAAGTTCTATTTTTAGCATGTTGCGGAATCTCCATGGTGTTTTCCATAACGGCTCTACTAATTTATGTTCCCAACAGTGTGCAGGAGTTCTCTTCTCTGCATCTTTACCAACACTTGTTATCTTTGAACTTGACAAAAGCCATTCCAACAGGTGTGTAATGGTATCGCATTCTGGTTTCCATTTGTGCTTCCCTAATGATTAGTGGTGCTGAGCATTTTTTTTCATGTACTCGTTGGTCATTTGTATGTCTTTTTCTGAGAAATGGCTGTCCCATTTGTCTATTTTTGCTTTCACTGCCACAGAAATTGAACTTACAGTAGAGAATATGGTTACCAGAGGCTGGAGGGGGATTGAAGGAAGGGAATGGGGAGTTGTTGATCAAAAGTTATGAAGTTTCAGATAGACAGGAGGAATAGGTTTTGAGATTTATTTCATAGCAGGGTGGCTGTAATAAATAATAATGTATTATATATTTCAAAATAACTAAGGAAGTAAATTTCAAATGCTTCACCATAAAAAATGACAGGTAAGTGAAGTGATGGATGTGTTAATTAGCTTGGTTTAATCATGCACGTTGCGTATACATATATCAAAACATCACATTGTATCCTATAAATGTATACAATGATTTGTCAATCAGAATAATATTAATAATAATTAGAAAGGCATACAAATGGAATCATACAGCATGTAATCTTTTACAGTTGCCTTTTATTTTTACTAAACAATGCCCTTGAGGGCCATTCATATTGTTATATATATATATTAATTGAATAACTGTTCATTCCTTTTTATTGTTGAGTTGTAGTTCATGGTACAGATGTACCAAAATTTGTTTAACCATTCACCCATTGAGGGACATTTGGATTCTTTTCAGTATTTTGCTGTTACCAGTAAAGCTGTTAGGAACATTTATATACATCTTTTTATGTCACCATACATTTTTGTTTCTCTGGGATAGACATACAAGACTGATTACTAGGTTATATGTAAGTGCATAAGTTTTATAAGAAATTGCTAAACTGTTTTTCATAGTAGCTGTACCATTTTACATTCTTTTTTTTTAATTTTTTATTGGATTTTAGGTTTTGGGGTACATGAGCAGAGCATGCAAGACAGTTGCGTAGGTACACACATGGTAGTGTGCTTTGCTTTCCTTTTCCCCTTCACCCACGTTTGGCATATCTCCCCAGGCTACCCCTCCCCATCTCCCCCTCCCACTGGCCCTCCCCTTTTCCCCCCTATAGACCCCAGTGTTTAGTACTCCCCTTTCTGTGTCCATGTGTTCTCATTTTTCATCACCCGCCTATGAGTGAGAATATGCGGTGTTTCAATTTCTGTTCTTGTGTCAGTTTGCTGAGGATGATGTTCTCCAGATTCATCCATGTCCCTACAAACGACACAAACTCATCATTTCTGATTGCTGCATAATATTCCATGGTGTATATGTGCCACATTTTTCCAATCCAGTCTATTATCAGTGGGCATTTGGGTTGATTCCAGGTCTTTGCTATTGTAAACAGTGCTGCAATGAACATTCGTGTACATGTGTCCTTATAGTAGAATGATTTATAGTCCTTTGGATATATACCCAGTAATGGGATTGCTGGGTCAAATGGAATTTCTATTTCTAAGGCCTTGAGGAATCGCCACACTGTCTTCCACAATGGTTGAACTAATTTACACTCCCACCAACAGTGTAAAAGTGTTCCTTTTTCTCCACATCCTCTCCAGCATCTGTTGTTTTCAGATTTTTTAATGATCACCATTCTAACTGGTGTGAGATGGTATCTCAATGTGGTTTTGATTTGCATCTTTCTGATGACCAGTGACGATGAGCATTTTTTCATATGACTGTTGGCCTCATATATGTCTTCTTTCGTAAATTGTCTGTTCATATCCTTTGCCCACTTTTGAATGGGCTTGTTTGTTTTTTTCCTGTAAATCTGTTTGAGTTCTTTGTAAATTCTGGATATCAGCCCTTTGTCAGATGGGTAAACTGCAAAAATTTTTTCCCATTCTGTTGGTTGCCAATCCACTCTAGTGACTATTTCTTTTGCCGTGCAGAAGCTGTGGAGTTTCATTAGGTCCCATTTGTCTATTATAGCTTTTGTTGCCAATGCTTTTGGTGTTTTGTTCATGAAGTCCTTGCCTACTCCTATGTCCTGAATGGTTTTACCTAGATTTTCTTCTAGGGTTTTTATGGTGCCAGGTCTTATGTTTAAGTCTATAATCCATCTGGAGTTAATTTTAGTGTAAGGTGTCAGGAAGGGGTCCAGTTTCTGCTTTCTGCACATGGCTAGCCAGTTTTCCCAACACCATTTGTTAAACAGGGAATCCTTTCCCCATTGCTTGTTTTTGTCAGGTTTATCAAAGATTGTATAGTTGTAGATATGTTGTGTTGCCTCCGGTGCCTCTGTTTTGTTCCATTGGTCTATATCTCTGTATTGGTACCAGTACCATGCTGTTTTGATTACTGTAGCCTTGTAGTATAGTTTGAAATCTGGTAGTGTGATGCCCCCCGCTGTGTTCTTTTTGCTTAGAATTGACTTGGCTATGCGGGCTCTCTTTTGGTTCCATATGAAGTTCATGGTGGTTTTTTCCAGTTCTGTGAAGAAAGTCAATGGTAGCTTGATGGGGATAGCATTGATTCTGTAAATTACTTTGGGCAGTATAGCCATTTTCACGATATTAATTCTTCCTAACCATGAACATGGAATGTTTCTCCATCTGTTTGTGTCCTCTCTGATTTCGTTGAGCAGTGGTTGTAGTTCTCCTTGAAGAGGTCCCTTACGTTCCTTGTGAGTTGTATTCCAAGGTATTTTATTCTTTTTGTAGCAATTGTGAATGGCAGTTCGTTCTTGATTTGGCTTTCTTTAAGTCTGTTATTGGTGTAGACGAATGCTTGTGATTTTTGCACATTGATTTTATATCCTGAGACTTTGCTGAAGTTGCTTATCAGTTTCAGGAGTTTTTGGGCTGAGGCGATGGGGTCTTCTAGGTATACTATCATGTCGTCTGCAAATAGAGACAGTTTGACTTCCACCTTCCCAATTTGAATACCCTTTATTTCTTCTTCTTGCCTGATTGCTCTGGCTAGGACTTCCAGTACTATATTGAATAGGAGTGGTGAAAGAGGGCATCCTTGTCTAGTGCCGGATTTCAAAGGGAATGCTTCCAGTTTTTGCCCATTCAGTATGATATTGGTTGTTGGTTTGTCATAAATAGCTTTTATTACTTTGAGATACGTTCCATCGATCCCGAGTTTATTGAGGGTTGTTAGCATAAAGGGCTGTTGAATTTTGTCAAATGCCTTCTCTGCGTCAATTGAGATAATCATGTGGTTTTTGTTTTTGGTTCTGTTTATGTGGTGAATTACGTTGATAGACTTGCGTGTGTTGAATCAGCCTTGCATCCCTGGGATGAATCCTACTTGATCATGATGAATAAGTTTTTTGATTTGCTGTTGCAATCGGCTTGCCAATATTTTATTGAAGATTTTTGCATCTATGTTCATCATGGATATTGGCCTGAAGTTTTCTTTTCTTGTTGGGTCTCTGCCGGGTTTTGGTATCAGAATGATGTTGGTCTCGTAAAATGATTTGGGAAGGATTCCCTCTTTTTGGATTGTTTGAAATAGTTTTAGAAGGAATGGTACCAGCTTCTCTTTGTGTGTCTGGTAGAATTCGGCTGTGAACCCGTCTGGACCTGGACTTTTTTTGAGTGGTAGGCTCTTAATTGCTGCCTCGACTTCTGACCTTGTTATTGGTATATTCATAGTTTCAGCTTCCTCCTGGTTTAGGCTTGGGAGGACACAGGAGTCCAGGAATTTATCCATTTCTTCCAGGTTTACTAGTTTATGTGCATATCTCTGATGATGGTTTGAATTTCTGTGGAATCTGTGGTGATTTCCCCTTTATCATTTTTTATTCCATCTATTTGGTTGTTCTCTCTTTTATATTTAATCAATCTGGCTAGTGGTCTGTCTATTTTGTTGATCTTTTCAAAAACCAGCTCTTGGATTTATTGATTTTTTGAAGGGTTTTTCGTGTCTCAGTCTCCTTCACTTCAGCTCTGATCTTAGTTATTTCTTGTCTTCTGCTGGGTTTTGAGTTTTTTGTTTTTTTTTTTTTTTTTTTTTTTTTGGGGGGGGAGGAAGGCAGGAAGGAAGAGAAGAAGGACGGTAGGGAGGAAGGAAGGGATGAAGGAAGGAAGGAAGGGAGGAAGCGGGGAGGGAGGGAGGGAGGGAGGGAAGGGAAGAAAGGAAATCAAGCAATGAAAGAGACATTGCCGACCTGGATCTAGAGGTTTACAAGTTGATTTCTTTTTTTTTTGAGAGAAGGAAAGAAAAAAAAAAAAATAAGTAAAGGAGAGGAAGAAAGAGGAAGAGAAAGAGGGAGAGTAAATGGAAATATTGCTTTATTTTGAAAAAAATTGGGTATTAATAATGGCCAATCAATGTTTCATTTAAACTAATGGGTAGGTGTGATGTGGTATTGACAAGAATGTATATTTTGTGTATTTGAAGTGGAGAGCTCTATAAATATTTATTAAGTTTACTTGTTCTGGATCTGAGTTCGAGTCCTTGATATCCTTATTAATTTTCTGTCTCATTGAATCTAAGTCTCCTATCTGGGTGTTAGGATCGTTAGCTCTTGTTGTTGCATTGATCCTTTTACCACTATATCTTTGTTGCTTTAAAATCTATTTTATCCGATACAAGAATTGCAACTCCTGCTTTTTATTTATTTATTATTTATTTTTGCTCTCCATTTGGTTGGTAAATCTTTCTCCATCCCTTTGTTTTGAGTCTTTGTGTATCCTTGCATGTGAAACAGGTCTGGATGTAACATGCCGTTGGGTTTTGGCTGTGTCTTTTGATTGGGAATTCAGTCAATTTAAATTTAGGGTTACTGCCATTTGATGTTGACTGGCTGTTTTATCCATTTGTTGGTGTAAATTCTTCTTTATGTTGGTGCTCTTTACTTTTTGGTGTATTTTTAGAAAGGCTAATACTGGTTGTTTCTTTCTGTGTGTAATGCTTCTTTCAGAAGCTCTTGTAAAGCAGGCCTGGTGGTAATAAAATCTCCGAGTTCTTGCTTGTTCATAAAAGATTTTATTTTTCCTTCAGTTGTGAAGCTTAGTTTGGC